TCGTGAATCGAGTTTAAAACTCTAGGAAGAGAAGTTGATTAACCGAAAAGTCGGTTATAAGCGAAGGATGAAGAAGATCTTGTTGCCGATCTCCAAAGCTCCAGAAATGTCTAAGGATCCTGTTGACCGAGGCCAATGAAGGTGGTGGCAAACCGGCCGCTGATTGTCCGCCCGAAAGATCAGGCCCGGCGAACTAAGTTGATTCTTAGTTATTTATAGGGGAATTAAGGGGTGTAACCAACGCTCGCTTAATTCGTCCTAAGTGGGCTAATGCGATGTAACCGCCCTTAAATCAGCTCCTGAGTGGAGTTGTGATCCCTCAGATCGTGGGAACGGTTTGAAACCGTTCACTTCGTGTTTGAACGAGTGCAAACTGCAGATCGACTGGGAGGGCATTTCGGCATGAATTCTGTGTCCCAAACGCAGTGTCTGGAAGCTTGAAACGCAGTGATGGAAGCTGCGTTTGCAATGCGGATGAAAGCTGCGTTTGCAGCTAGTATAGGTGAACTGGTGCGGTTCTGGAAGGTTAGCTGACTGGTCTTGGGCAAGCGGTTGAACTGGCATTTAGCTGGGCTGAATCTGAGGGCTGGCGTTCAACGCGATTTGGAGGCTGCGTTTGCAGCGATTTGAGATGCGTCTGGCATGCGCGATTAGAGCTGCGTCTGAGTGGACGATTTAGGCTGCGTTCGTGGCTTAGTGAACGCGGTGCGTCTTGATGCTGGCGCGGGAAGGACTTCCATGTCTTGATGTGGAAGAGACCATGCGGGAGGGTGGTGGGTGTAGTCTGTCTTTCTTTAAATCCGAATGGGTTTTTACAAGATTGCAGTCATTTTGTAATCTTTACTTTAGCTCTTTGATTATGCAAGGGAGTTGTCAGATTGTAACTCTCGATGTTGATGGTGTGAAGGCTGTTAAGACTAGAGCTGCTCAATCGGTTGTTGTGAAGGTTGTCCCATGATTGAACCTTCAGCGAATCTACAGTGAAGTCTTCAAATTGTAAGCCTTCTGGATAGTGCGTCAGATTGTAACTTCCATCATGGTGTTTGATGGGAGGGGTTGGTTGGTTTTTGATCGCGAAGCTACCTATGGTGTGATTTTTGACAGCCTATATATATATATATATATATATATATATATATATATATTATAGGGTATATATGGATTTAGTTACTTATTTATAATATATATATATATATATATATATATATATATATATATATATATATATATGAATGAGAAATAAATTAAATGGGTATGCTTTGGTACCAAGCAACAAAATTGAATTTGAACACTCCCACACTACCAAGCATCACTTTTTGTGCTTTGATACCAAGCATACCCATATTTCTCTCCCTCTCTCTCTCTCTCTCTTCCTATATTATATATATTATATTATACTATTACTATATATATTATATATATTACTATACAATATATATATAATATATATATACTAATATATATATGATAGATTCTATATACTATAATATTATAATATTATATATATATATATATATATTATATTATATATATATTATATATTATATTATTATATTACTATTATATTATATATAAATATATATTAATGAAATCTATCTATCTATATATATATATATATATATTAATTATTATTTTATATATATATAGTGTATATATATATATTATATATATATAATTATTTATACTATATATGATGAGAAATTATGATGTATGTTTAGCGGTATACCAAGCATAAATTTTCTGTGCTTGGTACTGACCGGTAACACAGTCTCCTCTTCACTCATTCAATAGGGGACCACATTCCCATGGTTGAGGCGTGCATGAGAATATGTAACCATCTTGACATGAGTGGAGGAGATTATGCCACTCACTACAGCACAACTTTTTGTTTGCGTATCCAACATTACCCATTTCTCTCTCTCTCTCTTCTTATTTATATATATATATCATATATATATATGGAAAAGTGAATCTAAGGTGACGCCCTAGGCTCCCACCTAATGACACGGCCTAGAATCATATCATTTCCTAAAAATTTTTTGCGATCCGCTCCGTTGAACTTGATCTACACGTTGTTAAACCCAAACATACCAATTTTGTGGTGAACCCGTTGTGTTTTGACCATTTGTTGAGCCGTGCAAAAAGTTCTATTCATTCGAAACCGTTAAAAGAACCCGTTGTGTTTTGACCATTTGTTGAGCCGTGCAAAAAGTTCTATTCATTCGAAACCGTTAAAATTGCAGCGAGTGGATAAAGGGTCAAAACACAACGGGTTCACCCCAAAATTGGTGTGTTTGGGTTTAAGAACGTGTAGATCAAGTTTAACGGAACGGATCGTAAAAAAATTTAGAAAATGATGTGATTCTAGGCCGCGTCCTTAGATGGGAGCCTAGGGTGTCACCTTAGATTCACTTTACATAAGCTTATCATAAGCTTATACAATTTACATAAGTAACTTATAGATTCACTTTACATAAGCTTATCATAAGCTTATACAATTTACATAAGTAACTTATATATAAGCTGCTGAAAATAATCGTTTAATAATCATATACTGGAACATGCTTCCAAAATAGTTAAAAAGTGTTTGGCAACGGTGTATTGATAAATACCCTTGACATAAATGAAATTTTAGAGGCTACAAAAATAGTGTGTGTGTTGAGGGGTATCATCATTCTTTAGGCTCTTGAGTGAGCTATAGGAGTTTACCCGGGGTTCATTGAGCATTGTGAAGTTAGTGACGGTTAAAAAGTTTCTTCTATTCGAAACTTGTATGAGTTGTAACGTATAATGAATTTCCTTCGTGAGAAACAGTGGAGTTAACTCGAGGAGCAACATGGCAACCCCTTATTTCTTATTACCAAATATGATTCACTAATTAATGATGTCGAAAAAACCATTTTCCATCCAGAAGCCTGAAAAATAAGCATCAACAAAAGCAACAGAGACAAATCATTAATTTCCACGTCGACACAACCCGCTACCGTCCGTTACATACATTACCAACCTCATTCCCCGGCCAACCCCCACAACTCAGCTAATACTCTCACCCAACCGCAACCGTCCATTACATACATTACCAACCTCACTCCCCAACCCCCACAACTCAGCTAGAAATAACCAAGCAACAAGCACCTAACAGAAGTGGACTGGGAACCACCTTATTATTGATCACATTCTCATAGTGCCACTAAACCCTAGCTCAATCATGCTTGTTAGCCACATTGCACTGCTTCCTGATCTCACCCTTCGATCCCGTCAACGGATTGTTCTCTGACAAGAGCGTGATCGCACGAGAAAACTCCTTGAAAAAATAATCCTGGCTCTTGGCCATCTTCTTAACGTACGGTCTGGTCCTTGAGTCGTGAGCCAGCTGGTGATCTACTAGGAGAAGACCCTTGTTGTCGAGGATGTTATTGTAGTAGTTGTTGTCGAGCTTCATGGGTGTCCCACGGTCGTTCCGGACGTATTGGACGGCCTTGGGGTCCGGGATCGCGTCCGGGCATTTCTTGAGCATGTGGGGGATGTGGTCTGGGTTCAACTCTGGGTCGACCTCCGGGTACAGACGGTGGACTAGCTTGACACAGTGGGTTCTGCCTACACTGTGTGCTCCTGTTATCAAGTAAAATGTTAGATTTTAACTCAATATGGAGCTGAGGGTAAGTTAGCAAATTAACGTCTATGTCTATATGTAAAAAACACCCAAGAGTAGATTAAACGTATTTAGATATTTATTTTATGATTATGATGGAAAACAAAGTCATACAGAATTAATAGAATCCATGGTCCAATTATTTAAGTAGATATATATGTGATCTTTCTCTTTCTACGCAATGCTCAATAGCTTTTGTCAAGATAAATGTGGACCTTTGTGACAGAACCACGTGTCCCCGTGACTAACTCCCAGAAAAGCTGACACATTTGTCGATTCATGCGCATTTGGATGCATCTATCCTTATTGCCAGCATTCGCCTGGGAAAAAAATTTAGCCAGTACCCTTGCAAAAATAAAGTGTCTTCTCTGAATGTAAAAGATATCAGAAGTTCTGATTAAAAAAAAAAGATATCAGAAGTTCAATTTTCTAAGACATACTTTTGTGTTGTAAAGAGTTTGTATTACTGTATTGTAGTGATATTTACTTGAAATCCGTTTTAAATACAACATTTGCTTTTATTTGAGTCTATAGCTAGACTTTACTCTGATATCACCTTCAGAGTTTCTGATATGAATATTACGCAATTTTGGAACATAGGCGTCCACATCTTTTTAAATGAGCTATAAGCGCATGCTTGGTGGAAGTTAAATGTGGGTTATCATATTGTTGAAGTTCTACTTTTTCTTCCTACATCAAAACTTTGAAGTTCATAGTGAAGATTGAAGATTGTAACATGTATTCTTATTGCTATTACTGCCACGGCATCAATTAATGAATGCGTCGAGATGCATCGTTATGGGATGCATGACGGATGGCATGGGGATGCGATGGGGATGATGTAATTACGTACCGAGGAGAGCCACAACCCCAGGGGTGTCGATGCCCATCGCACCAAACTTCGCCAACACCACAGACATGCTCTCGTTGTGGTCCGGGAGGTATTGCTCCAGCACCTCCGCCCTGCTCCTCCTCCCATCCCTCCTCCCTGTCTTTAGAGGAATGTGGGGCCCACCAAGCTAAAATACACCCACCAAACAAAGTAAAAAAAAACAAAAAACAAAAAAAGATGACTCTATATGCAAATCATATCATCCACAAACTAGTCAAAGACAAGCTGCACGAAAAACAAGGGCTGTAACTCTTAGTTGCGCTAAAATCCATTTGTGGGTTTCAATGTGTATTAGATAGGGTAGATCTAGGTCTAGGGTTAAAAAAAAAGAATATCTTATATATGTAGTAATTAGCTGGTATGTTTTTCCTTAAATCTTAGGGTAAACTATCTAGTGATCCCCCCCACCTCCCTCTTTCAGAGTATAGTTGGTATGTTTACATAACCTCAGAAATTAATTACTTCACAGATCTGACCTTGCCAGGCAAAATAACCCAGAATCAATACATTCTTTACATATGTATAGACTGAAAATATGAAAGGATAAAGACAGGTTTATACATTAATGTCATTTTATATGCGCAGTGAATTAAGGGGCTGTTTGGTTTGCCCAAAAATTATGGAAAATTAAGGGAAAAGGAAGAAAATGGAGAAAAAGTACAACTTGTTGTAAGTTTTTTATAACATTTTTTTTTTTTGTTTGGTTCACATCTTATGACCAAGAAAAATGATGATGTGCCAAATTCTTATAGAGAGCCGCTCTAAGGCACACCATCAACCACACTCCCTCTCTTTCTACAGTGTAAGGGGCCTCACATGTGATTTTTTTAAAAAATCACATGTGGGGCCCCCTACACTGTAGAGAGAGAGGGAGTGTGGTTGGTGGTGTGTCTTAGAGTGTGCCTCTATCATTTCTTATTCTTATATTGGTTGATGTGATCCACACTTTAAGACACTCATTTTATGTTTTTTATTGAGGAAATTGGAGAAAATTTTGTTTGATACTTCCTTATCTTCTTCATTTTTCTTTGATTTTAAGGAAAACAACCAAACAGGCCCTGAAAACAACCAAACAGGCCCTAAAATAAAGGATAAGCTCAGTCCGTCAACAGTCCTTCAATTACTTAAAGATCCCCTCCCAATTACATAATAAGAAAAGTTTTTCCCGTTTAGATTTCAACCAAGTCCTTTTTAGTTCTACCGGCACTCCATTGAATTACAATCTTCTCAGTTGTTTACAGCCGCATTTTGTATATATGAGAATCGCATAAAAATATATATATTTTCGCGCGCGCGCATGCAAACAAAGGCCTAAAAAAGCTAAAATATTTTTCAAGATGAGAAAGGGAGGAATGAAGGGGCCGGGTATTACCGCAACGATGCCCTCTCTAGCTGAGAGCACCAAAATGTCGGAGCAAGACACAACCTCAGGGCACTCCCGCTCCACGGCCTCCTTAATTGTATCCAAGTACCTAAAATTCCTCAGCCCGAAGCTCCTGTCGGTCTCCTTCTCTGAGAGCGACCTCCTCGTTGAGTCGAGCAGGAGTGACGCGTCACACGACTGGCCGATCGAGATCATTATCAAAAACATCAGTAATCGATCAGCAAAAGTTAATCACGAGCGAGGTCTGGTCCGGTTACTGTCAGTTAGATCGCTAGCTAGCGAGGGTGTTCCGGTCATTTTTATTCTGCTTAACAAATAAATAAATAAGTAAGTACGGACCTCCACGGCGCAATCGTGGAAGATGTTCCGCAGCCAGGAGAATGCGGTGTTCTTGTGCCTCTTGTAGAGCAATTTGACCTGCTCTCTGATTATGTCCTCAGCCTGAGGGCACGAGTCCCTGTAGAAGTTCATCACGAGGCCGGGCTCCTCTTCACCGGAGAAGGCTAGGGAGGAGGAGGAGAGGAGAGCGAAGAGGAAGAGGAGGCGGCGGCAGCTAGACGAACCCATTCTCATTAATTTCTCCAACTAATGATAACCAAGGGGAAGTGTGAGTTAGTGCGAGCTGATTAAAGAGGAGTGACAGCTTAAATAGAGGGAGGAAAGAGGGGAGGGGTCTAATTAATAAAGAAATGGAGGTGGGGGATTGCTGCATGTGGGGCGAGTAATGTGGGTTTGGCTTGTGCTGCCACTTTGCCTTAAGAGAGCGTCGCCTCTATTTCCTTAGATTAGTGTTTCGCGAGTTTTTTTTTTATCATATTAGGCCGGCCGGGATACGTGTCTCCTCTGTGAGAAAGTTTTCGGTATTTTTCATTAATTAGCTGCGCATAAGGAGGATGACTCAATATATATTTTGATATTTGTGCACTGATTCCATGTTAAGAGTTAATACTTCTTTAATGTGTCATTAATAGAATGAATCAAGTGTGTTGAGTATTTTCTCAAATAGGCATAACAAAACCAGCCAAACAATTTTTGATCATTTAACAAATCGATCTATATTGTTAGTTTGATACAAAACAGGTGAATTAATATCCTGATCTTAGTGTTAGATAGCAGGAAGTTATTGATGAATAATATCACAATTTGTTTTGAATATATTAAAGTAAGAATTATTAGATTAATTGTATGTAATATGGGAGTAAATGTAGAATAAAATTAAGTGATCTACCAACTTTTTTATCATTTTTATTCTGCTTTGATGTTCATGTTACATATCAAGACTATCTTTTAGATGTGGTGCTAGTACAAATCTAGCTCAAAACAAAATTAATAAAATAAAAAATTGGAAGACAGCCTTTAATCTACTTAAGTATACACAAGAAATTTATTTTATGCAAAGGGACAATTACTACCTAGAAAGTAAAAGAGAGAGACACGTGCCATCTAAAATATTGTTTCTTGCACATGGATTAGAGTGGTGAATAGAGCAGGACAAAAGTCGAGGTTGCTGGGCTAGGGGGGGTTATTCGTTGGTGTAGTTTGGTGTAATTTGGGGAAAATTGTTCCAATGGGGTAATTTTACCCAATGAGATAATTGTGTGGGATAAAGTAGGGTAAAATGGGGTAATGAGACAATTTGAGTGGGACAATTTTAGTATGACATTTTTTAATAATATTATATTTATAGCTCAATTAAATTCAAGTTTAATTTGATATAACATCAAATGATTAAATAAATAATAGTTATAATATAAAATAATATTATTTTTAATATTATTTTAATATAAAATATTAAAAATAATATAATAATATTAATATTAATCAATCTTAAAATATTTTGATGTTTATTTTAACTATTATGCTAGATTAACAAATTTTTTAATTACAATAATTATTTAATCATTCGTACATCTAATTACAATGATGATGATGATAAAGTCTCAATTATTACAAATAAAGTCTCAGTCGGTAACTTAAATCTTAATTATTACAAATATAATATACCGGCATATAACTTTGCTCTAGACTTCTTGGGCTACGTTTGTCCCATCCTCCCACATTGTATTTGCCATTTGTTCTCTCCAACGTGATGCAGCTGTCTGTTGTGCTTGTTGAGTTTGTAGGTCATCGTCCTCATCAGAATCACCATCAATCGGAGCAACATTGCGTGGTGCCTCTGGAGGAAGATCAGAAACTTCAAAGACATCGTTGGAGTTCTCCATCTTTAGAAAATTATGCAGACCGATACATGCCCAGATCATACTTTTTTTAGTCTCATATGGAAAACCTGGAGGTTGAGACTTAAAAATTGTAAACCTAGACTTAAAAATGCCAAAAATACGTTCAATACAATTTCTAAGTGATGAATGTCGATGGTTGAATAACTCATGAGCATTGCGTGGTCGCTGACGGTTGTTAGCTGGGCCAAACTCTTTAAGGTGGTACCTCGTACCCCGATAGGGAGCCAAGAATTGTAGCCTATTTGGATAACCACAATCAACTAGATAAAATTTACCTGCATTAACATTTCTTTAGAATTATAATCAATAAATATAAAATCTAACAAATTGATAAAAAAATATTTACCATTTGGAAGTGGAAGACTACATGCACTTCTACTTATTGCATACTTCAGGACCCATGAGTCATTGGCAGATCCCTCCCATCCCACTAAGACATAAATAAACCTAAGATCAAATGTGCATGCTGCAAGGATATTTTGAGAAAGATAGCCATGTCTATTACGGTATAGAGTTTGGTCCTCGCCATATACCATACATGGAATGTGGGTCCCGTCAATAGCACCAATACAGTCCTATATATTCCCATTAACATATATGAAATGTGACTTTAAAATTATAATAATAACAATGAATGAAGACTTATATAGTGTATTTAAATTTCAATACCTTGAAGTAAGGCCAAAAACGAGATTCAGATGTGACCTTTTCTGGTGGATCAGTAGGAGGAGGAGCCATCATACAAGGGGCTAATGACACAAGGGCCTGTAGTGCCTTATTGAAACAAACACTGACGGCAAATCGGGATCGATCAAACCTTTCAGTGGTGATGCAATATCGTTGATTTTGAGTAACGGTGAGTAGGAAAATATCAACCATCTCCTCAACGCTGATATACCGTGTATCTTGTAAATGCCCACGTTCTTGCAAGACCATACACAATTTCATGAAGCAATCCGGATACATACGGTATACTCGACGAAAATCACGTGGGTTGCTATCCATCTTAAATTTTAAATATTGAAGGCCAAGGTCCGAAATGCGATGTCTGAGTTGGGAAATGGGTAGATTTATCTCCTCTTGTGATATGAGGTGCGAGATACTCGTGACTAGACCTCCTATTTGTGCAGCCATGTTGATAATGCGAATGAGGAGATTATCAGCAGTATCCTCATCAAATAGCAAAATAGAGACATTCTGATTATCTTCCATCCTGTATTAGGAAACGAGATCAAATAATAGTAAAATTTTTAATACAATATATTAGATAGAACAACCTCACCTGTATAATAACAAAAACATACCAAGATAATAGTCATTAATAAAAGTCCAAAAGCATACAAGTCCAAAAGCATGTAAGTCAAAAAGCATGTAAGTCCAAAAGCATACAAGTAACAACATGTATGTGCTTAACATCTATGTTCCCAAAAGCATAGAACTAACAACATCTATGTTCCCAAAAGCTTATAACATAATAGTCATTAATAAGCATAATTATCGTCATTTGGAAATACTCCAGTCAGACGCCAAATCATAAACCTTCTCCTTTGATCATCATTCATCTTCACAAACATATCCTTCACGTCTTGAGAAATATTTTGACTAAGGACAGTCAATCGTTCTCCATCGGTAAATTCTGGAATTGAAGCCACTCCCTCGACCCACGGTTGGTTGCGGCTTCGCAACAACCTCACCTCTGTGACTAACTCTTGTAAAGCCTTACTTATAATTGTAATTCCACTCGCCATTTCTTGCACGGCGGGTTGAGACAATGCAGAGGTGGTGGTGCGGGGAGGTGCTCTACGAACATTTCTGCTAGTGCTAGAGGTTGATGGAACAGATTCAGCCACGGGAGTGGTAGGACCTGGCGTGCTATAAGGGGGAGGTGGTGGAGGATCTACTGGTGGTTGGGTAGGTTCTGCTTCACCCATAGCATCAAGTCCAATGTCATCATCCAATATACCCTCACCTAATGCATTATGTAATGGTGCACTCTCTACACCCTCACAACCTAAGCCTCCAGCTGCTCTCCCACTAGCTGAGTGGCTACCCACAACCATCTGCATATCCTCAAATTTTTCAAACAACTTATCTTTAAGCATTGGTGTATTAGGACGAGCCTATCAAAAAACAAAGATAACAAATTAATTTTTGTAATTAGGAAACATAACAATATATTATGTAGTAAGAAACTTTGGGTAATGCAAAATCTAACCTGTTTGTAATTTTCCCACACCTCAACAGAGCAAGTAATTCTTTGAGATATTGGGTCCTAACCAAACCCGGAATTGTTCCTCAATAGTAATTCAATTGGTTCAATCTTTCTCTTCCAGCTTTTGATTTTATTCTTGACATGATCAAATTTAAAAGTTCTTCCAAATTTAGCATTCATGAATGGCAACACATTTTGTGTGATGGTATATTTCTTGAAGTTGTCATTATCCATCTTGTTGCCATTCTTCACCTCCTCCACTAAAAGCCTTAGTAGCTCTCTATTCTCTTGCTCTGACCATACTACATAGTCACACCTAGCCTTTTTTGCCCTCTCACCATCTTGAGAGTACTCTTCCCCATTTTGAGTTTCCGAAGCAAAATTCATCCTACAACGCAATTATCAATAATGAGTTTCCATATATATATCTTGAACAATGTCACTTTAGTTTTGTAACCAGTTTTCCCATTATATATATCTTGAACAAATGAGAAACTGAAGATGTTATCAAAGATTTGCTACCTATAGATTTGCTATAATTCATGTAACCACTACAAAACATGAAACAAGAGGGAGTCTTTCTATATTCAGTTTTTCCTATCACGCTAAGAATAAATTAATCATGCAATAGAAACCTCAGTCATAGTAACTAGTTTCACATGAATGTCATACTTATATGTGTGCTTTAGATCTAACAGTATTAGTGTGCTTATCCTCACATGAATGAAATCTTTCTAGCTCTACATCAGTTAATGTCATACTTATATTTGAGTTATTTATATAACAGTCCAAGGGGGTCTAGAGAAAAATGTTTAAGTCTTCAATTGAGCAAAAATATGTATAAAAACCAATAATATCTTCCCATTTTTCAAAACTCATCTTTCTTTGAACAAATTTATCGAACATATAACGCAATGCAATCCACCCATCAGGCCATCGGAAATCAAGAAAGAGAATAACTCCATTCGATAATCATACCAGTAACATTTTAGCAAATCACTCAAAAATAAGAATGACAATAGAACTTGATTTTATTCCTATATTCTGATCATTAGTCAAGCATGCGAATGAAAAGTGAATAAACCTTATACAGTGAGAACATAATTTGAAGTATGGTTGTGCTCAAAGCAAAAATATAACAAGTAGGTGCAGCCTCTTATAGAGCCTCCCTCATTCCTCTCCAGCCTCTTATAAATCCAAATCCTATAATTTTTGAATTGAGTGTCATTCTCTTGAGTATCAAAATAGTACCTCAGGAATAAAACAACCACCATTTTCCATTGCGTAAAAGATAATACAACACAAAACTAATCACCTTGGAAATTTATGAATTCCCTTACCAAGTATATTTCTAAACAGAATGATCATTATCAACGATTGTCAAAGTACTAACTTGTGGGGTACAAATTCATGTGTCATCACCTCATATCCAAGAAATGCTTAACTAAAGAATGTAATGCGTGAATTATTGGTAATGATGTCATTGGCTATATATTATACTTGTAGTTTATGTTTTGCGTACCCTTGTCTTTCTCATGCTTATGTCCATTCTATGCGATATAGTTATTAAATAGGTGAAAGGGATTCACCAAAACTCTACATAACCTAATGCAATGTCACTCAACTCTTGTTAGCATTGATGAGGAGATTAGTAGCTGGTGAGTTTTCCAGCAGCTAGCAAATTTGACTTGCTAGCATTGATGAGGAGATTAGTAGCAAAAAATGAAATGTCACTCAATACCTATAGACCAAATGCAATGTCAATCAACACTTGTTCGTAATACATCAGTTCAATAAAAACCTTTCAATTTGTTTTCCTAATCTGTTAAAACATTCAATTTGTTTCCATAGGCATGCTATTCAATTTGTTCACTATAAAATTCAGTTTTGACATCGGTGCTTTATGGATCCAGAGATTGTACTTGGGTTGGGAGGCGGTGCCGCGGAGGAGGCCGCGGAGGTGATGGCGGCGGCGGCGGCGCCCGAGAACGGCGGCGGCGAAGCGGGCGTTCGAGCTCGAGAACGACGTACGAGCTCGAGGCGGCGAACGGCGTTCGGCGGCGAACGACGTACGACCCGGACGTCGACCTAGAGACCGGCGCCGCTCGAACTCGAGGTGGAGAGACGAGGTCGGGTCTCCAGCTGGGTTTTTTGGTTCCAGCGAAAGAATTGGGGCAAAATTTGGGGGTTGGACTGAACTTTGCTTTTATAGGTGAGATAAATTGGGGGAAAGTGGGGAAGTTGTCACAGAATTACCCCAACAAACCAATAACACCATAAAGATTACCCCAGTTCCAATTACCCCAATGAATAACACCAAACATTATTGTTCCAAAAATTATCCTATTATCCCAACAATTACACCAACCAATAACCCCCCCTTGGCGTTAGTAATGTTATTTGCATATATACACCTTACATTATGGATATTTGTAAAACTACCTTCTAAGTATCAGTATTTACCAAATTACTTCTCAAATCATCAATTTTGAAAGAAGGTGCAATTACTCATTATCTTTGATAAGCTAATTTGTAATTACAAAATAAAATTATCAAAAAATAGTTAAATTTCTTGCATCAAGTTGTTGATTTGTGGATTTTAAAATATTCTTTCACAATTAATGATTGGAGGGGTAGTTCTGCAAATATTAAGATTTAGGGAATCGGTTATTTTTGCTAATACCATGATTTAAGGGTACATATGCAAATAACCCTAAAATATATGGGTCTGGCCAGTTTAATTATATTCGATTTAGGCATCCTATGATCCTAACTAATTACTAGTGAAGAGATTTCTTTTTACGAGTATAAAAAAAAGAGGACGTATATGATGTGTTACTTGCAACATATGCGAAGATTAATTAACGTGAAAAGTTTGAGCCACATTGCTAAAGCTTTGGATGGAGTTAATAGCTGCTGTTCTGGCATTTGGGGAACAATAATGTATGAATCCCTCATTATATGGGACCATAAAATTTTGGGTCATTTTTATTAACAAACAACTTCGAATGAGATAGACAAGTATAGGGATATAGGACAATTCATTTCGGAAAAAAGCTAATTCATAGAGAGAGGAAGAGTAATCTTTGGTAAATTTATATTGGCTTCTTATTAAGTCAGTGCCCCATGTCCAAGAAAGAGACTCCATAGCAATAGGCCTGTCCAAAAAACCCGCCGGCCCGGCCCCGGCCCGAAAATCCGGGCCAGATTCATAGAGAGAGGAAGAGTAATCTTTGGTAAATTTATATTGGCTTCTTATTAAGTCAGTGCCCCATGTCCAAGAAAGAGACTCCATAGCAATAGGCCTGTCCAAAAAACCCGCCGGCCCGGCCTCGGCTCGAAAATCCGGGCCAGACCGGGTTCCGGGCCCGGTTCCGAAACGGTCAAAAACAGCTATTTTGTGAGGTTATTTTGGTCATTTGCCTAGGGGGCTGGTTCTATAAATAGAGGGGGGTTTTCATTTGTTTTCTTCACACCAAAACTTATCTACTTCTCTCTTATACTCTTATACTCTCTCTTATACTCTTATACTCTCTTATTTATACTTTCTAATCCTTTCATCAAATGGCTTCCGGATCTGATTATGAAGAGCAAAACATATCTCCCGATCCTGAAGGGTGGTTTTCATTTGTTTTCTTCACACCAAAACTTATCTACTTCTCTCTTATACTCTTATACTCTCTCTTATGCTCTTATACTCTCTTATTTATACTTTCTAATCCTTTTATCAAATGGCTTCCGGATCTGATTATGAAGAGTAAAACCTATCTCCCGATCCTGAAATGAGTCCTCCTACTCCGAGGTCTGATGTATGGAATTTTTTTGAGAAGATAGACGTCACCAAGGATGAACACGGTAGGATCATCTCTCAGAATGCGAAATGTGCGTTGTGCGGCCAGATATTCAAAGCTCATCATAAGAGCGGCACCAACCATCTCAAACGGCATATTGAAAAACACAACAAAGGCCAAAATCTACAAGGTGATATCCGGCAGTCTATGCTTTCCCAATCATCCTCTTCAGGTACCCTCGGCAGTTGGAATTATGACGCTGCCCGAGCCCGGAAATGCGTAATCAGGTTTATTGTTCTTAAAAACCTTCCTTTTAAATTAGTAGAAGATGATGAATTTGAAGATTTATTTAGAGATGGTTTTTATCCTGCATTTACAAAATTTTCTCGTCAAACCTGTCAACGTGATATTTTAAAATATTATGTTGAGGAACAGGGAAAAATAATTTCTTATTTTAAAAATTTAAACTGCAAATTTTCTTTAACTTCTGATATTTGGTCATCTAGAGTGCAAACTGGTTATTTATGTATAACAGCACACTGGATTGATGAAAGTTGGAAAATGTTTAAAAGAGTTGTTTCTTTTATTGCAATTGAAGAGTCACACACTGGTATTAATGTTGCAAATTTAATTGTTGAAGAACTTATGAAACTAGAAATTGATCAAAGAATATTTACTCTTTCACTAGATAATGCAAGTAATAATAATGTAGCTGTTGATTTTCTGAAAATAACTTTGTCATTGCCATGTCATGGTGAGCTTTTTCATGTTAGATGTATCTGTCATATTTTAAATTTAATTGTTCAAAGTGCATTTTCTGAAATTAAACCCATGATAGAAAAAGTTAGAACAGTTACTAATATGCATAATGCTTCTGAAATGAGAATTAAAAGATGGAAACAATGTTGTAAAAGAAAAAATTATAAGCCTAGACTAATTCCAAAAGATGTTGACCATAGGTGGAATTCCACCTATGCAATGTTATCTGTAGCAATAGAATATAAAGAAATTATAAATGATTTTATAAATTTTTATGCTTCTAGTTCTAGCTCTGGTAGTGCTTATGGAATAACTGAAGATGAATGGACAGTTATATGTAAATTAAATGAGATGTTACAAGTTTTTTATGATGCTACTATGTTATTATCTGGTTGTTATTATCCAACTATTACTTTAGCTGCTTTACAAATTTTAAATATTCAAAAATTTTTTGCAAAATATCGTATGGATGATACTTTTGGAAATATAATTTTTCAAATGGAGAGTAAATTTAATAAGTATTTTAGGCCTATTCCTCATATTTTTGGTATTGGTGTTCTTATTGATCCATGCTTGAAGGATATTGGCCTTTAAAGTTTGTAACAATCCTTGTATGGTAATCAGATTATAGACTTAGATGATGGAACCACCCTTACTGCTACTACTCATCATTTAGCTATTAGAAATTATTTTCAAACCTTATATGATGAGTATGCAGCTAGACATGGTGTAGCTACACAACAGTCTACAGCCTCGGTTTCTTTGAGCTCATCCCGAGATAAAAGTGTAAGTTTTGATAGGTATGCAATGGTAGCTGAGCTAACTGGTGGATCTGGA